GATCTGCCCTTGATCTACCCTCCGGGCATGTCACACTCAGCCTGCAAGGTCCTGCTGGAAAAGAACAATTATTTGTCTGAAAGGCGGATTACACCCCTGGGGAACAAACCCCAATTCCTCCCGTTCCCAAGTGGGAGAGGTGAGAGGGATGTGAGCAACTGGGCCTCAGGAGTGTGGGGGTATTGAAACCGCACGTAAAGTGGAGCTCTGCAAAGACTGCTCTGGGGCAAACTGTCGTGCACCGTCTGAGACCGCTTTGTGCAGCCTCGTCTGTGTGACTCTAAGCAGACACGGCCAGGAAAGGTATTTTAAGGGGAGGTATAAAAAGGAAAACTGCTTGTACAACTGAGAGCAGAGCTCTGGCCTTGTGAAAGGGAACAAAGGAGCAGAGACTCTCTCTTAGCAAATGCCAGGCTGGGTTGTGTGGCTTTGCAGACACGCTGGGGTGCAAATGCCACAGAGGGGAAAGCGTGGTCAGATTTATGTCAGTCAGAGGTGATAGAAACTGGAGAGGAAAGGAGAGGTAATTTCCCAGCTGTTGGAGCAAGGCGGAGGGTGGGAGCTGCCTTCCAGCAGATGCGTGAGAGCACCCTGGGATGGTGACTACGGGTTCCCCGGGTCAGGTAAGCTGTCACACCTAAAGCAACAGGCCCTCGGCTCTGTGGTACAGAAGGTCCTTCTCAGGTCCATCTTTCTAGGCACAGAGCAAGGCAGGTGGGAGATGGAGATGGGAAATCAAATAGTCGGTCCTGACGGAGGAGTTAAAAACTCTCCTGCAGGTCTGGAATGAATCTTCCATCACCTGAGGTTTGCTTAGTTCCACATCTCATGGCAGCGTGTGGAGGAGGGACGAGGGTTGGGCCAACTCTTCTCTGCTCGTTTTGATATAGGAACTGTGGGACGCCAGAGGACACTGCCAGGCCCGCGGGGAAGGGAAGGGGTTATTTCACAAAAGGCGCCATTAGTTTGTGAAACTCCTCGCTAAAAGACAGGGTGGGTGCTCAACTGCTGCGCAGAAGAGGCTCGATGGGTTTCTGGGGTGGGGAGAAGCCATGTCCAGCTGAGGAAGTCCCTGACTTCTGATGGTTGGAAGCTGGGGAGGCACTTGGAGAGGTACCATGGCATGTTTTCTTTCCTATATTTTTCCCTAAGCGTCCGCTTCTGGTGCTGGACACAGGATCTGAGGCTGGATGGACCTGTGGTGGGAGCCAGGCTATGGCTGTCCCTGTGCGCCTGGGCCCTCCTCGCCCAGGCTCCTGCGGTGACCGCCATGGGCCACGCACGTCCCGCCAACGCCTCGCTGTCGGAGCTGCACCTGACAGGCGTCCCGGGGCTGCAGCACCTGCACCCCTGGATCTCCATCCCGTTCTGCGTCATGTACCTCGTCACGCTGGCCGGGAACAGCTCTCTCCTGTGCCTGGTAAGGGCTGACCCCAGCCTCCACCTGCCCATGTTCCTCTTCCTCTCCATGCTGGCTGTCATCGACCTGGTGATGTCCACCTCCATCACCCCCAAAATGCTGGGCATCTTCTGGTTTCACTCCACAGCCATCAGCCTGGATGCTTGTCTCACCCAGATGTACTTTGTTCACGCTTTCTCTGTGATGGAGTCAGGGGTGCTGGTGGCCATGGCCTTGGACCGCTACATGGCCATTTGCAATCCGCTGCGCTACTTGTCCATCCTGACCAGCCCTGTGGTGGCTGCCATTGGCTTGGCCACCTTGCTCAGGGCTGTGGTCTTCATGAGCCCCCTCACCTTCCAGATTTGCCACCTGCCTCTCTGCAGCCCGCCCGTCGTGGACCACTCGTACTGTGAGCACATGGCCGTGCTCAAACTGGCCTGCGGCGACGCTGCCTTCAGCAGCACCTACAGCCTCTCTGTCTCCACCTACGTGGGCAGCTTCGACTCGCTGCTCATCGCCCTCTCGTACGCGCTCATCCTCCGGGCTGTGCTCAGCCTCTCCTCCCCACAAGCCCGCAAAAAAGCCTTCAGCACTTGCAGCTCGCACCTCTGCGTCATGGCCCTCTTCTACATCCCTGGGCTGCTCTCCATGTACATGGAGAGGTACCACCAGGAGCTCCCACCCCATGTCCAGGTCCTGTTGGCAGATCTCTACCTCCTCATCCCACCGGCACTCAACCCTCTGATCTACGGCATCAGGTCGAAGCAAATTCGTGATGGAGCACGCAGGGCATTCTCCTGGAGGAGACCCATGGCAGGAGGAACTGACCCAAGGCAGGGCCTTCAGGGCACAGGGATGAGGCTCGTGAAGACAAAGGCCATTCCCTAGGATGGCCAAACCCTCTGCTGGACCTTGGTGTGGCTCTCAGGGTACATTCAGAGCCGCGGGTGCCTCAGGAAATGTTGGCACCCACTGAACTCAGCACCAAGGGCTTCAGCAAGGTGTTCTCCTGCCCGTCCCTAGCGCAAGGCAGTGACATCGGCGCAGCACTCCTGGGTGGTCCCGTTCCCTCAGATCTCCCAGCGTAAATAAGGATTGCAGCCACCCCCTGACCTTGTGCTGGCAAAACGACCTACTGCAGCCGAGCCACGGAAAATAGCTGTATCCTGAACGTATCACGTTGTGTGCAGTGGAGCCGTGCCAAGAGATGCGAGGGACGTGGGATCGCAGGACCACGGGATAACTCGGGCTGGAAGAGGCCTCAGGAGAACTCCAGTCCGAGCGCCCACGAGGTCAGAGCAGGTTGCTGAGGTCATCCCCTCCGCCTCGGTGGGGGTCTGTCAGCCCTGGGGGCAGGTACCCACACACCGTCCTGGATGCACAAGCACAGCACACGCTTCATCTGCCTCGCGCCCAAGTGAAGCAGTCACCTGAGGGGACACAGCCGGGACAGCTGAGCCCACCAGACCCAGGGGGTGTCCCGGACCTTATGGCATCATCCTTAGGGGGTTTCCAGAGGAGGGATTAATACCCCCGCACTGCTGCTGCGCTCAGAGGTGCACAGAGAGGTGCTGCTGCAGCCTCGGGGCGAGACAGATACCGGTGTTTATCCTCTCGGCAGACCTTTGCTTAGGCTGCAAAGCTCATCTCTGCTGGTTTTCCGTCTCCCAGGACAAGAAGTCCCAGCGATCAGGGCGCTTCGGTACTGCTGCAACACAGCAGCATTGTGAGGGGCAGGGGCTGGCGGAGAAAGCTCCTGGAGCAAATATCCTCTTGCCTGGGATGCAGGCGCTGGGGAGGCAGCTCTGGATGCAGACACACGCAGGTGCCTGGAGGTAGGTGTCCACACACCCTTGTGTGCATGAGTTTGGTCTCTGAGCACTGAGTGCGGCCAGCAGAGCCCCAGCCCCTGCGGCCAGCAGGCCCTGGAGAGCAACTCGGCTCCCCCCAGGCAGATCCCTGCATCCCTGCTCCATGCCCGAGCGCTTCTCCGACTGCAGGAGGGTCTCGGACCCTCGGGGTGTCACACCACGGCCCCTGCTTGGATGTCAACAGCCACCTGAGATGCCCCCGGGTACCCAAGGCATCCATGTGGGGGAGACACCCCACCGCCCAGGGGCCGAGCGGGACACTCCGGGGAGGTCTCAGATGGCTCCAGACACCCGCGTTGGGCCATGCCCTGAGTCTTTGCGGGGGGACACCCGTGCAGACCCTTCGAGCCGGTGCGTTGCAGCAGGGGCTGCTCCGGGAGGCTGGTGGGGGGCAGCGGCAGCACGGGGGGGCTGCGCGGGAGCGTGGGGCGGCAAAAGCAGCCACGGGGTCACCCCACTGCTCAAACCCGGGGGCACGCCTGGGTCCTGCAGCTGCTGGCTACCAGCCCAATGATGTGCAGCGATTAAAAGGGAATTCTGTTCCTGTTTCAGCCTCTGCAATGTCCCGATTCACAGAATTTAGGCCAGAAGGTGAGTGGTTCAGTCCTGAGCAGTGCTGTCAGCCAGCACCCAAGGCTGAGCCACTTCAGAAGGAGGGTTCGAAGCCCATTTGAAGCTCTTTTAAAACCTCAAGCGTTGTGTTAGTGCCTCCCACTATCTTTTTTATTTCTGCTCTGAACTTTACCTTCTGCCACGCTGGCCATGCCTAACATCGATTTTTGGCCTAAATGACCCCGTGGCAGGGCTGTACGCAGGCGAATTTTACCCCGTGTTGTCACTAGCACGGGTATTGCCAGCCACGGCCACCCCGCAGCCTGCTGCTGGCTAAAAAGCTGCTGGTGGATGATCACCCAGGGGATTTCTTTGAGCAGGCAGGGATCTGGGTGGCCGTCACCTGCCTGCTCTCTGCCACCGCGTGGGCAGAAGCGGCAGCAAAGTTTTGTCACAAATGAATGTGTAGATGCTGCCCACCATACGCAGACTCACCTTCTTCTCTCTCCAGGGCTGTTCTCTGCAGTTTCTTTATTACCTTCAAACTTGTCCCGTCAGAATAAAACCTCAGAGATTGATCATTTTGTCTGACTACTGCCTAGTTTTGCAGGCTTCTCGCATGGGTAAATGACAGAATGAAGACAGAGCAGTAAAAGACATTTTCATGATGGTGTTTAATGTCCCAGAACACTTTCGGAGACCACGTTTTATCCTACAGATTTGGAGGAATGTCCTATGTTGGGCTCGTTGCTGGGAAGCCAAGTCTGCTCAGTCAGAAGTGCTGCCTGAGGGAAGCTGGATGCTGACGTTTTTCTCCTCTCTTGCTGCTTATTTCGAGATGCCAGCTGAGCGGTGGTGAGCAACCAGCAAAGAAACAAGCCTTTCACAAGCAACAAACTGTAGAAGTCCCTTGGTTATCCCAGGTGGCACAACTTGAAGCATGAACTTCTTCACCTGATAGGAACTGTCAAGCCACGACAGCCCCATTTATTCAGCATCTCTGCTCCACTACCCCTCCTACCTGCTCATGCCACGCTGTAGCACTCCCGTCTCCCACAATGTGGATTCCTGATTTGACTCTTGTACTAATGCAGAGTCCCCACCCCTTAGCTCTGGACATCTCAGGGCTCAAAACTGGGCTCCTGTTTTTAAGCATAAAAGCAAGATTCTCCTGCATGGCTTCTGATCCCTTCACCCGCCCCAACAGCAGCTCCTTCTCCTTCATCCTTGTGGGTGTCCCCAGCCTGGAAGCTTTCCCCACCTGCCTGGGCATCCTTTTCTGCTCAGGCTATATCATTGCCCTGGTAGGAAATGGTGTCATTCTGCTTGTCATTGGGCTGGACAACTCCCTGCGTGACCCCATCCACTGCTTCCTGGGCATGCTGGCCATCGTCGATGTGGTGATGGCGACTTCTGTTGTCCCCAAGATGCTGAGCGTGTTCTGGCTGAACTCTGCAGAGATTGGCTACGTGGCCTGTTTTGTTCAGATGTTCCTCGTTCACTCCACAACGTCGGAGGAGTCGGGAGTGCTCCTGGCCATGGCTGTTGACCGCTACGTCGCAATTTGCCACCCTCTGAGGTACCAAGCCGTCTTGAATCGCCACACAATTGCCCAAATAGGCCTGTCCATCGTGGGGAGAGCTCTCCTTTTCATGGTCCCCTTGACTGTGATGGTGACAAAGCTCCCCTATTGCCGTTCCCGGGTGGTTCCCCACTCGTACTGCGAGCACGTGGCCGTAGCGAAGCTGGCGTGCGCAGACCCCAGGCCCAGCGGGCTCTACAGCGTGGCTGGGTCCTCTCTTATAGTAGGGATGGACGTGGCTTTCATTGCCGTGTCCTACGGGATGATCCTTAAAACCGTCCTGGGGAAGAAATCACGCTGGAAGGCCTTCAGCACCTGCGGGTGTCACGTCTGCGTGCTGCTGCTGTTTTACATCCCTGGGATAGTCTCCATCTACGCGCAGCAGTTCGGCAGCGGCGTGTCCCTGCACGCACAGGTCCTGCTGGCTGACCTCTACCTGACCCTCCCCACCATGCTGAACCCCATCGTTTACAGTGTGAGGACCAAGCAGATCCGTCAGGCAGTCCTCAAAATGCTCTTTCCCAGGAAGGTTCATGCCTGACGCGGCGGCCGGCGGGTCCCCAGGTGTCCTCCTCTGCCCAAAGACAGCACCAATCTCATTCCCATTGGACGCACACGGCGAACAGAAGCGATGAGAGGAGGAGGGGGGACTTGTAGGCTTTAATGACCATGTGAGACCCTACTCTGTGATGAGAGTTATTTGGGTCTGGGAGCATGAGCGTGACAGGACCAACTTCCCTTCCTTCTTTGCAGGTGACACAGAGAAGTAACCAACCAGCTCGGAGTTTTGAGATGTTCCCGATGCCGTGAACATCCCTGTGATAATTTAAAGCAGCATTTTGAGGCTCCAGGTGTGTTTGTGTCAACACACACAGATTCTATTCAAAATGGGGAAATTTTATCTGTGTTGTCTTCAGTCCTGCAGGACTATAGGGGCTGGCAACAGACTGCCAGGCACTGCAGGTGCCCTAGCCACAGAGGCTCTCCTCTCTGGGCCTCTCTTGCCCAAAAGGCCGGCCCCCACTGAGCACAGACCAGCTTTTCTGGGTTTCTGGGTGATGATGGAAACTGAGCATCTTCAGAACTGAGCTCTTCAGAGCATTCTGTCCACCTGACAGTTCACAGCAGCTGGGTGAGGAAGCCCAAGGGCGGAGATGCACAACGGTGTTCCTCACCCTACCCAGGTGTCCGCAGGTTGTGGTGGTGGAAATAAACTCTGCGTCTGCTTGCGGTACTTACCAATCCTGTGTCTGCTTGTTGTAATGACCACGAGTGCCTGAACAGCTAAATCCAGCAGGTCTTGGAGGCCTGAAGGACAGCATGCCGTAGGTCTGAGTGTCCTGAGCCCACCTAACTCTTGCTGCTGGTAGACCAGCTGCATGCCAGAATTCTCTCAGACATCTCTCATCCAGCCAGCTATGTCCTACCAGGCTTCACAGGCTGCTCTGCAGCACCCAAACATGCTGAGACTTCCCCGAGCGTGAGAGCCCTCCTGTTCTGGAAGCTGGGATCCGGCTGGGAACAACCCAGGTGCCCCAGCAATGACGGGTTTTATCGGGCAGCAGCAGGCACAGGGAGCTGCTCCGAGGCTCAGCGGCAGCAGATGGAGAGCCCAGCTCTGGCCTGCGATAAGGAGATGCTCTGCAGGTGTTGTTTGGAACTGGAGGCTCCATGGGAGAGGCGCGATTTCAGTGCACATGGCGATACATGGCAACAACAACTACCCAAAGTGCCAGCAACTCGTATCCCCGCACGTTGCCTTTCCTTGGTACCAAGAGGTTCAGAGGTTCAGCCACCCCAAGGGTTCCTGCTCCTCAGAAATGGAGGGTGCTCCAAGGGCAGGGGGATGCTCTGCACCCGCTCTGCGGGGACACTCCTCCCGGGGTCAGGCTGGAGCCCTCTGAGACTCGGTAACACCGAAACACAAAGAGTTGGTGTCTGGGGACAAAAGCAGCAGGCTGGCGAGCATTTGCCCCGGGTGGGAGCTCCTGTTAGGACGTTTTGGGTCTGGGAGTGGTGAAGTAGAGTTCTCAGAGGTGCTCGTGGTGCTCTGCCTGGGAGGGGGAGTTTCAACCAGCGAGAGGAGCCGTGAGCCCACCCGGGTGTCTGGGTGGCGGCGGGGCAGAGGGGTGACGCGGGGGGTGGCCACTGGCACAGGGACTCAGAGCGTACAGGGGTGGGGTGTTTCCCTCGACAGCCAAGGGGGGGTCTCGCCCTCCTCAGCCACGTTCGGGGCAGAGGGTCCACGCGGTTGCTGCCTGGTGGTCATGACAATAAAGCAGGCGGGGGCAGCATAATTCCTCCCACCGATTTCAGATCTCAGCTTTAGGCTGGGAGGAAAACTGTCCTGAAACCAGTTTGTGTCCAGGGATGTGAAGGCGGGCTGGAGGACGAGCTCCCGTCAGAGCCTGGCACCAGCTCTCAACTGCCACCCGTGTTCGTTCACATGAATCCCCCCCAAAAGGTCACATTTAGGCCTTCACTTCTACATTAATTAAAAAAAAAAAAAAACCCAAACAAAACCTCGGTGAAATGCATTTGGTTTCAAAAGTGGTTTGAATGTGTTGTTCCCCATGGCAAAAATTTTTTTTTCTGCCTCTGTGTTGTTTATCCGTCTTTCTGCTGCGCTCTTCCCTGACACCACGAACAAACAGTTGGCAGGATGTTTCCGCTATCCTGAATTTCCGTGTTTTGCTGTGCTGTATTTACACATTTACCCTGGGCCTTGGGGAGAGGGTCAAGGACACGGCCCCGTGTCTGGAGAGCTGGGAGAGACTCACAGCTCCTGTTCAGCAGCCAGAAATGAAACTGCACTCACAGTGCCCTGGGCAGCAGCACAAAGATCTTTCATTCTGCTGGAGACAACTTTGCAGCCTGTTCCCGCCTGGCTTGGTCACTCCTTGCAGCCGTCGTTTGTAAAAGAAATTAGATGAGGGAGAACTGACTCGGGACTGAGGCTGTAACCGTCCAGCCCCTCGCTGGGGCGATGGCAGAGGATGCTCTTGGGAATCTGCATCCAGGAGACCCGGTGGCATTGCCTGGGGTGATTTATGCTCAGCCCTGCGGCTCTGCCCTGGTGCCCAGGAGACGTCCCCGAGGGTGGCAGCTGCCTGGAGCGGAGAGCAAGGTGGGTGTTGGTACGGGAGGGCTGGCGCCCGCCGGGCTCCGCGTCGGCACCGTGGGAGCCGGTCAAGAAAAATCGCTGGAAGATTTATTTTAAAAGTAGGTTTTCAGAATTTTAACGCTTCTTATTAAACAAAACTCCTGACCCGAGGCTGCAGAATTCTGGGGGTTTTTTTAAGGTAAAAATAGGAGCTGAGTTTAAAAACATAAACACCAAACCTTTTAACCCAAAACCAGAGATTGTTTGCTGCAGAAGAGTCGGCTTGCTTCTGCTTGTATAAATTAATCAATAATTAGCTAAATACACGTTGGCTGTTAAACAAACTAGGTTTCCAACCCCAGTGACGCCCCGAACCCCTTGCACAGAGCAGCAGGTACTGAACGCCACGGGCGTGCAGACGGGCTGAGCCCGTGCAACAGGCTGGGTTGTGTCACCCGTGGTGCTGCTCGCTGGGATGGGGTGGGGGGTGAAGGAGCAGCCCCTTGGCCCCACATCCCGGCTCAGAGCGGGGACAAAGTGTTATTTTGGGGGGGTGTCCTGTGTCTGCGGTGCAGTTTGAGGAGGGGGAGCACACGCCGGAGCAGCTGCACGCCCAGGGCACGGGCGGGAGCTGGAGCTTTGCCTTCCACGGGAACTTGTGTCCTACACAGCACAGGCAGCACTCGCTCCGTGCCCAGTTCCTGACATAACCTTGTTTTATCTCCATAAAAAGGTGTCTGGAGCCTGCACTGTGCTGCCCCGCTGCCACCGAGCGGTCTGTGGTGAGAAGGAAAGGGG